GGGGTAACCCTATGGAATAACTTGCCATTCCATATCAGAAATTCAGCCTCTTTAGGCATTTTTAAGAAAACCTACAAAATTTATCTGAGTGAAAAATTTGTTGTAAATGGCTCAAGCCTATAATATGTATATTGTATTTTTTGTCCCTACAGAGGGCCCAATGAAAATTACTTTATTGTATATTGGCCTACCCTCTTTAAATAAAGTGTTAAATTAAAATTAAATATATAATTTCCGAAACGCAGAGCCTTAGGAAATTGTATATTTCCCAAAAGCTAAAGCTTTGTGAATAATGTAAATCACAGTGTTTGAACGTTGGGAATCCTGAATAGCTGACATTTATTAGTTGCAATTCTTCTTGAAATTATTTACTAATTTTTGTTCAACACTCTTAACACACAGGATTTATTTTTGTTTATAAATAAATGAATGTAATTTGATGATTGGAATTATACAACTTCTGACCAAATTCCTTGATCTTTGTAGATGCATTATGATGACTCCATTCAATGTCACAATATTTCTATTAGACAGCAGAGTTGGCTTGGTCGATTGTTTGCTTGTTATGTATAGCATCCCACTGGATTTCGTGGGCCCTATAGCAGAATACAAATGTGTAATATGCATACGTGCAGAAGGAATTTAAATAGTTCACAACACATGTAACTGAATTGTCATTGTCTTGTTTTTAGGAGAATGTGGTATTGCACGACCGAAAGCTAGAATAATTGGTGGACAGGACGCAGAAATAGGAGAGTGGCCCTGGATGGCTATGTTATATCACATAACAACAAACAAATCATTTTGTGGAGGCGCTTTGCTGACATCAACCTGGGTTGTGACTGCTGCACACTGCATTAACGAGTCAAAAGTTAACGAAAATACGCTCCAGGTATACCTCGGAAAACATGAAGCAGATGTGGGTGAAAGTGGAATTATTGTGGACGAAATTATTATGCATCCTGATTTTAATAATACAGTGTATGATGCAGACATCGCTCTTATTCGATTGACAGAACATGTTGTTTTCACAGAAACGATCAAGCCAGGTATAGTAAATACACAGTAAAATGTTATCTTGTCATCTACTCGATTAATTCGCGGTCTCTATTAGTTCGCGCACCCATTTTATTTTCGAACGCTAATTTTTAAATGTATCCTTTTAATTCGCGGCGTTCAAAAACATGTTTAAAATTGTATCCTATTAATTCGCGCGACAGAATCAAAGTGGATAACTCAGAATATATTGCATGAACATTAAAAATATACATATAATGTTATGTTATCAGTATTTGGTGTCGCCGCAATCGCAGATGGATCTCCGTCATCACCGCCTTTCAGTTAGCAAGCAGTTAGGTTTCGGTAAAGATTTGACGTGAAAAAAATCATTCCCCCACGACACAACAGATGTTGGGCAAGATTATTACTTAGTCGATAAATATCCATCGGTCAGCACATCGGATTACGAATTTCCGTGATGGAAAGCTTGGTACATGGCTTTTTCGTCGCTGGTCCACAGGGTTGCATCCCGGGGTTGCATCGACCATGTGTCCGCCATTATTCTATTACGTCATTTAAGTTGAACCGCCCATATGGTGCGTAAATTTACATGTTTTGATTGGTCGGGACGATTGACTCGTGTCACATTTCATTATACCGGATTCGGAAAAAAACACAGAGTTAAGCGGTCATGTACCTTCTATAAATCTAACCTTGCACACATAATCTTGTACTGACGTGTTTTTTGTCCAAGAAAG